CTTTGTTCAAGGACTAAATATGTAGCCATAGATTTAATCTATACTGAAATAGTAGTTAATATTAGAGTCTAATATTAGTAGTTAAAATATTAGAGTTAATATTAGTAGTTAAAATAGAGTCTTAGAAGTTTTTGCTCTTTTGGCAGGCGCAGTGGCACACACCTGTAATCCCAGTGACTAGGGAGGCTGAGGCAGGAGGATTATGAGTTCAAAGCCAGCCTCAGCAACTTAGTAAGACGCTGTCTCAAAATAAAATATAAAAGGGGCTGGGAATGTGGGTCAGTGGATAAAGCACCCGTGGGTTCAATCCCTGGTACTAAAAGAACAAAAAAAAAAAGTTTTTGCTCCTTTACTGTATACTTATATAAATGTCTATACATTATATATTAATACATTATATTTATATATTATACATATATAATCAGATGGTGATAAGTGCCATGAAGGGAGGTTGGAGAAGGCTTCTATGATGAAGTAATATTTAATAGAGGTCTAAAAGWGGTGTGGGAACAAGCAAATATCTGGTAGAAGAGATTTAGGGAAAAGAAGAATAAAGTGACTGYGAATAAAGCTTTTTGGCTTCTACCACTGTGGCTGTTGCCAGTGATTAAAAAGGGAATTATATAAGTGGATATGGGAAAGTAGCAAGGTATATGTGCACCTCTGTGCTGGTTGCAGAGGTGGAGGATGGGGGGTATTTGCAGGTGAKTTAGTGTCTTATGGGTCTTGATAGGGTTGAATTTTATTCTGAAATGTGCATCCATTGTATGATTTGAGCAGAGTGACATGATTGTGGTGGGTTTTTTTTTTTGTCTTGGAGACTGAACACAAAGGTACTTTATTACTGAGCTACGTCCCAGACCTTTTTTATTATTTATTTTGAGATAGGATCTTGCTGAGTTGCTGAGGATAGCCTTGAACTTTCAGTTGTCTTGTCTCAGCCTCCAGAGTAGTTGGGACTACAGGTGTGTGCCATTGCACCYAGCTTGATTGTATTTATAAAGGATTATTCTTGCTCAGAAACTCCTAATTTTGGATTCTTTTGATARAATTTGGAAATCTATGAACTTGGATAAGAAAAAACATGAATATCTATATTTAGTAACCTCTACAGCATTTTTCCTGTTGTGATGTATGCAACTAACTGTAGTTSCTATGACATTTTTATTAGTCTTTCCTGTGACTTCAAAATGAATGGAAATCACAGATTTTTTTGTATCRTCTTAATAATTATTGTAAACATGTTGAATTATTTATGCTTATCTATATTTTAGAATTATTGTAATACTAGGCTTACTGCTATGTCTTGTTACTGTATATGTTCATAAGGAAGAAAACTTTAGACAAAGGGAAGAACCCCTGTGAAGGCTCCAATAGGAGGGAAAATCTGTTTTCTAAAGATCCAAATTCCCTGCTGCTGACTTGAGATACATTTTGTTTGGATGTTTTTGAGCCATTTAATTTGCCTAATATCCTCATTTTTAGTAAAAAAGTCTCTTATAATTATAGCTATCAGATACTGAGTACTTACCTCCAAGACATTTATAATCATTTTTCTCTTATTCTCCAAGGAATCATAAATTAAGGATTATTTCCCTTTTTCAGATGAAGAAATGAGGATTTTCAGAGGTTTAATAATTGCCTGGGAACACTTAGTGTTTTTGTTAGCTTTTGTGTCACTATGACCAAAATACCCTGGCAAGAACAATTTAGATGGAGGAGTTTATTTYGGCCCACAGTTTCAGAAGTTCAGTCCATGGTCAGCCATCTCCGTAGCTCTAGGCCCCAAGTGAGGCATAAAAGCATGGCAAAGAAAAATAGCKTAGGACATGGCAGCCAGCAAGCCTGGAGATAGAGCTGTGATCACCAGGAACAAAATAAACAGCAGATTACAACTACAGTGACCTACTTCCTCCAGCCACACCCTACCTGCCTACMGTTACCATCTAATTAATCCATATCAATAGATTATTCACTGATGAGGTTATRTATCTCATAATCCAATCATTTCACCTCAACATTCTTGCATTGTCTTACACTGAATTTTGGGGGGACACYTCATATCTAAACCATATTTTCWGTAATTAACTATTAGAATTAGCACTAAACTTTCATTAGTCTGTTCCTGACATCTTTCTATGGTAGCRTTATACTGTCTTTAAAAAAAATTTTTTTTTTCATTTACTACTGGGGACAGAACCCAGGGGCTATCTAAAACGGAGCTACCATCCCCAGCACTTTTTAAAAATTTGAAACAGGACCTTGCTAAATTGCATAGGCTGTCCTCAAACTTGTGATCCTCCCTTCTCAGCCTCCTGGGTTGCTGGGATTAAAAGTATGTATCACTGTGCCCAGGTATACTGTGTCTTAATTCCTTTCTGTCTCCCTTAAACTCAGTCACTGGGATGGTACATGAGCAGTCTCAGACCTCTCTTATCCTAAGATCACCATCACAAAATCCAGAGCAAATAGTATTTTCATTGAATCCTCAGCACACAAACTATTCTGAGTTTCTCTATCTGCTAATTAAATTAGTTCAATACCTTAGACTCTGTCTCTGGCTCATCCTCCATATGGATAACCCTTYATTACTGCTTTCAAATTTATCTGCTACATTCTATATTACAGAGTTTATTCTGTTTCTACCCCAACTGAGTGTGCTGCAATTCAATTTTGACAATATTAGTGCAAACCCATAGTCCTCCATAATACTGCTCTTACTTTAGTAGCCAGCCTCAAGTGTTGGGATTTCTCAGATGGCATGCAATTTGACCAAATGGCTATAAATTCAGAGGTTTCCAAGGCCACCTTAGCTTCAATAATTTGATAGAAGGATTTATAGAACTCAATAAAGTTCTATATTTAAGATTAGAGTTTTAGTATAAAGAAAACATACTAGGGCAAAATCTTGAAGGCTTCTGGATAGAAGTTCCATACCCTCTTATGGAATCAAGTGTATCACACTCCCAGCACATCAGTGCATTCACCAGCTGAAATTTCCACTGAAATATCGTGTCCAGAGTTCTTTTTTTTACTAGGYATGCTTGATTAAACAATTGGTAGCTCAGTCTTTACCCTTTCTCCCCTTTATAGAGATCAGGCAGTCGAAAAACTGCAGCTCTAATCACATTCTTGATCTTTCTGGTGACCAGTCCCTAGAAGCTAAGAATTACCCTGTTTCACCTCATTGGCATAACGAAACAGTGCTATCGTTCATGAAGTTCCAAGGAATTTTAAAGCTCCGTGTCAAAAAATAGGGAAAAGGCTAAATTTTCTTTTTTTTGCTTTTTAATTTTTTTAGTTGCAGATAGACTCATTCCTTTATTTTATTTATTTTTATGTGGTGCTGAGGATTGAACCCAGTGCCTCACATGTGCTAGGCAAGTGCTCTGCAACTGAACCACAACCCCATCCCCAAAACTTCCTTTTTATTATGCCATGGAATACCAAAGAATCTTCCGMGTGTGTATTTTGTTCTCTTAGAAGACCTTCAATGGAGGCCAAAAAAGTATCCATGTTTTGTTAGATAGTATGACAATGTACTCTTTCTCACACAGTTATATAGATGTGTACATGTGTATATGACTAGTCATGTTTTAGTATATAGCTCAAGCATTGTATTTKTACTAACCTTTCCAGATGATATTGACCCACATCTGTATTTGARAATCATTGTGGTAACTTATTTCCATACTCTCCTCACTCTGCTTCCTGAATTATATCTTATTAATTTCTGTTCATTCTTGCTTATTTTTTTTTAGATTAAACAGTAACTGAGAATTTTATGTCATTTACCCACTAGATAGTATTTTTTAAAATATTTTTAGTTGTCAACCTGGGATCATAGCTCAGTGGTAGAGTGCTTGCCTACCATGTGTGAGGCATGTGTGAGCCATGTGTGGGTTTGATCCTCAGCACCATATTAAAAACTTTAAAAAAAGGTATTATGTTCATTTACAACTAAAAAAATATTTTAAAAAAAAGAATAAAATATTTTTAGTTGTAGATGGACACAATACCTTTATTTAATTTATTTATATGTTGTACTGAGGTTTGAACCCAGTGCTTCACATGTGCTGGGCAAGCGCTCTACTACTGAGCTACATACATCCTCAGCCCAAGACAATTTTTACTTTAATTTTTTCCATTTGTATCATAAAATTTAACTTTTCACAAATAAGAGGGGAAAAGAATATTTAGCCCTTTTTTTTTTCTTTCAGACCTGGAATCAATGTGTGAAAGCAAGTTATTATCTCTAAAGAAAGAAGTTTATGAAATAGAGTCATGCCAGAGGGAGATAATGGGACTTACAAAGCCTGGCCTTGAATACTCCAGCTTTAGAAATGTTTTAGAATATAGAAGTCATTTTGCCAGACAAAATGGGCWTTTAAGTCAAGAAGTATTCTCTAATGAATATGTACCCACATTTATTCAACAGTCTTTCATTACTCTACATCAAATAATGARTAATGAAGAAAAACCCTATGAATGTAAAAAATGTGGAAAGACCTTTAGTCAGAACTCACAATTTATTCAACATCAGAGAATTCATATTGGTGAAAAATCTTATGAATGTAAGGAGTGTGGGAAATTCTTTAGTTGTGGCTCACATGTTACTCGGCATCTGAAAATTCATACTGGTGAAAAACCCTTTGAATGTAAAGACTGTGGAAAGGCTTTCAGTTGTAGCTCATACCTTTCTCAACATCAGAGAATTCATACTGGTAAGAAACCCTATGAATGTAAGGAGTGTGGGAAAGCCTTTAGTTATTGCTCAAATCTTATTGATCACCAGCGAATTCACACTGGTGAAAAACCCTACAAATGTAAAGTATGTGGGAAAGCCTTTACTAAGAGCTCTCAGCTGTTTCAACATGTTCGGATTCATACAGGCGAGAAACCCTATGAATGTAAGCAATGTGGCAAAGCCTTTACTCAGAGCTCAAAACTTGTTCAGCATCAGAGAATCCACACTGGTGAGAAACCCTATGAGTGTAAGGAATGTAGCAAAGCCTTTAGCAGTGGCTCAGCACTTACTAACCATCAGAGAATCCACACTGGTGAGAAACCCTACAATTGCAAGGAATGTGGGAAGGCTTTTACTCAGAGCTCACAACTTCGCCAACATCAGAGAATTCATGCTGGTGAGAAGCCCTTTGAATGTCTTGAATGTGGGAAGGCTTTTACTCAGAACTCACAACTTTTCCAGCATCAGAGAATCCATACAGATGAAAAACCATATGAATGTAGTGAATGTGGAAAGGCTTTCAATAAATGCTCAAATCTTACTCGACATTTGAGAATTCACAGTGGTGAGAAGCCCTATAATTGTAAGGAATGTGGGAAGGCCTTTAGTAGTGGCTCAGATCTCATTCGTCATCAGGGAATTCATACTAACTAATAATAAAAATTATGACTCTTATCATCTTAATGTTTTAGACAAAAATTCATATTTGGTAGTTACCCTGTATCTATGTTTTATTTGTATGCAAGTTTTCAATCCAAATGCATTTCACTCTAGGATATGAATTTAGAGTCTAAATTGAYATCCCCTCCATATTGTAGCAATCAATGCCAGTTGTTCAGTAATTCTTTCTTTCCCCCATTGTTTGGTGCTATATTATATTCTTGTATGTATTTGCTTGTATTTTAGAGTTCTTCCCTTTTCTGATATTTGTTATTTTTTTAAAAAAAATTTGTAGTTTTGTATGGAGAGAATGCCTTTGTTTATTTTTATATGGTGCTGAGGATCAAACCCAGTGAGTAACTCACACATGCTAGGCAAGCTCTCTGCCACTGAGCTACAGCCCCAGCCTTGTTCTTGCATTAGTATCACACTGTTTAAATTGTGTGACCTTTCATAATTTGAAATTCCTTGTGGAATTATAAATTTGGGGCGGTGGTCAGTGCTGGGGATTAAACTCAGKGGCTCTCAACCACTGAGCACATCCCGACTCTGTATTTTATTTAGAGAAAGGGTCTCAATGAGTTGCTTATCGCCTTGTTTTTGCCAAGGCTGGCTTTGAACTCACAATCCTCCTGCCTCAGCCTCCYGAGCTGCTGGGATTACAAATGTGCGCCACTGTACCCAGCTATAACTTTGTTTTTGAAGTCAGTGTTAATTTTTTTGTTTCATTTCACAAGTTTATATTTTTATTGTAAAACAATCAGAAAACATAAAAAGGCAGAAGCTAAAAAAGCCAAAATGAATTATAGTTATGCTGTAGATGACTGCTCTCAATTTGGTAGAGCAAATTCTGCTAGACATSATATTTTAAGGAAGTGAAGTCATGGCATGTATGCCATTACGTCACTTGCTTTTATTATGCCAAAAACATAATAGCCATTTTARTAAATGTAGGTTTTTATTATTTTTAATGACATATAACTTTTTWAAATGACTATTATTCAAGTTAGGATTGTCTCTAAATTTTTATAGTGTGTAAGCTTTTATCTTTAGATGCCTGKTTTTTCCTTTAAAACATTTATTTTAATTGCTGAAATTAGTCATGTTTTCTCTTTATAAACTATTTTGTTCCTTTTCATTAATCCAAATCCTAATGCCATATTGGAAAAGTAATCACTGTTTACAAAAGTGTTTATTCTTCYAGATACTTAACACATTTTTTCTTATACATGTTAGTCGTATTTTATTTCTTATGTATAAATATATACAATCGTGTATGWATTGGTTTGGCCATGAGGACTCAGTGAATTGGTACAAGGTACTTAGATCTATTCCTACCAACTAGTGTATATTTAATAAATGTTTTTCTCTATTATCATTGATCTACTCGTTCTCATAATTATCTTCATTWTGATTTGTGGGAAGGACTTTAACCATATTGTTTAACTTTGTCAAAGAATTCATAAAGGAAGAAGAAAAATAATTRTAGTGACTATGGGAAAGAAACACCTTTCCCCTACTACTCCTTGGTCAKTATGGAATTTTAAAAGGGAAAAAAGATTTATGTGGGTAGTCTTTATTCAGACTTCATCCTTCATGCTRTAGGAAGAATGCCTTGGTTATAGCGATGGGCAGTTTAAAATCACAACTGTCACAATAGCAAGAAGAGYTGATATTTTTCTTAATTGGTTCCAAAAAAGTAGAAAGCATACAGATCACATTCTTTGCACAGAATAGGGAAAATAGTAAAAGTAGATGACCATCAAATATCTGAGTGTTAGTTCAGTATCTCCTCTTAATTAACATGGGTTAAGGAAATATATCACTTTGTATATGTTATTCAGATGCAAATGAAACTGACAACACTGTTGAAAAACCTGTGGCAATAAAAGCTGTATCGAAGATTTTTAACTTAATGTACATGTGTATATCAAAGTGCTGTAAAGATTATTAACAAATAAAATTACAATGGAATCCAAGAACCTAAAATAGGCAAAAGTGTATTTTGAGAGGAGGAAGTGATTATTAATTATAAAAAGAAGAAATAAAAATTATCAAAAGCAAAAATTTTAATTATTTTGTGGAAAAGAGAAAGGGAGACAAATTTTACTGATTCCAGTGATGAAATAAAGATGACAAATAGATGGTATTGAGAATGAAAAACTGAAATGATGATATGTTTAAACTGAAAAGGACCCTTTTCTTGTTGAGTGATGAAAATGTGGAATTACTGTTCTAGATGTCACAAATTTGTGAATATGCTGGAAACCACTATACACTTTAAAAGGGTGAATATTATGATGTATGTTTTGTATCCAGTTAAATAAAAAACTTAAAATTCAGTGTATTTGTAAAATACTGGAAAATCTGAACAAAGTGTGATTTTAATAAATTGACTTGACATCAGAATTGACTGGAGAAGAGGTGAACTTTGAATAGACTTTCCTCTAAAAGGAACACTTTTTAAATTAGAGCAAATAATTWAAAAAAWTTTTTTAAAGAGAGAGAGAGAATTTTTAATATTTATTTTTTTAGTTTTCGGTGGACACAACATCTTTATTTTATTTTTATGTGGTGCTGAGCATGAAACCCAGCACCCTGCGCATGCCAGGCAAACGCGTTACTGCTTGAGCCACATCCCCAGCCCCCCCCAATTTTTAAAAGTCAAATAGCTATGCTAAAAATGGCACAAAACAATATGTTTTTACAGGTGAGATCTCTGAACTATTTTAGGAACTCTTCCATGACAGGCTGAAATATTAAATTATTTATTATTATTCATTTGTCATAATTCTGATGTTAAAACTTTTTAGAGGGCTGGGTATAGCTCAGTGGGAGGGTGCTTTTCTAGCAAGTGCTGTGAGGACCTGTGTTCAATCCCTGGCAYCTGAAAAACAAACAACAACAACAAAAACTTGTTAGAGCACAAAAGATAACACAACCAGACTCTATTATGAAAATATGCTCTTATACATTGCTGGTGGGATTGCAGATTGGTGCAACCACTCTGGAAAGCAGTATGGAGATTCTCAGAAAACTTGCAGTGGAACCACCATTTGACCCAGTTGTCCTACACACCATGGCATACACCCAAAGGACTTAGAATCAGCATACTGTAGTGACACAGCCACATCAATGTTATAGCAGCTCAATTCATAATAGCACAGCTAGGGAACCAATCCAAGTGCCCTTCAACAGATGCGTGGATAAAGAAAATGTATATATGGGGCTGGGGTTGTAGCATGTGTGAGGCACTGGGTTTGATTCTCAGCACCACCTAAAAAACTAAATAAAGGTATTGTGTCCATCTACAACTAATAATATTTTTTGAAAAAAAAAGGAAATGTACATATACACAATGGAATATTACTCAGCCATAAAGAAACATGAAATTATGGCATTTGCTTGAAAATGCCAACTATGAACAGACCTCTGAAACTGAGCAAAAATAAATCTCTCTGGGCTGGGGTTGTGGCTCAGGGGAGCTTATTTGGCTTGCACATGTGAAGCACTGGGTTCAATCTTCAGCCACATAAAAATAAATAAAAGGTATTGTGTCCATCTACAACTAAAAAAATATTAATAAGTTTTTCTTTGTGTAAGGAGAAGGGACATACTAAAAATGTTTAATAGAGGCTATCTCCAGGCATAAGAAATGGGAAGAAGGAAACATAACTATGTCGACTTTTGCATTTACAAACATATGCATGTATTCATTCCTATGTGTAATATATTTTTAAAAATAAAAGTTTTGGGAAAGAAAAGTTATTTGAACCTAAAGGACTTCAGAAAAGTGATACTAAATTTGCAAAAAAAAATAGTCTTTTAAGTCATTAGGGAATAAAATGGGTGGATGAGATTCTATTCACAAAAGCAACTAAAATATCAAATACAATTAGAGTTTTGGAATAAACTACCACTTCTGGTAGAAGATAAAAGGATTAAAAAGTAGTTAAATTTTTGGAGAATATAACTAAGGATGCAGAAGAATGAAACACTTCTATACTATTTTTTTAACTGTGTGCATTGTTACTTTTATTTTAAAACAAAGCAAATGTGTGTGTGTGTGTGCGCTCGCACACACATTACCTTGAATCTTAGAAGAAATATGCAAGATCTTTAAAAAGAAAGCAACAAACTCCCTGAAGGAAAATAATATTACCAATTCTTTTTTAGAATTTAGAGACAATTTAAAGTTCCTGATGTATTTAGAACATACATACATAAAAGTATCAAAAATATCCCCTTTGTGCCACGTATGGTGGCCCATGCCTATAATCCCAGCATTATAGAAGTAGGAGGATCATAAGTTCGAAGCCAGCCCCAGCAACTTAGAATGACCCTGTCTCAAAATAAGAAGTAAAAAATAAAAAAGGCTGGTTCAATCCCCAGTTACCCATGCCCTGCCCCCCAAAAAAAAATCCTCTCTGCAAAATACAGGAATATTTAGTAAACTCTTACACCCATTGCTATCCCTATTTTTTAAAAATATTAATTTTAGATTGTTTTTTTACATAGAAGCAAGTGCAAAGGCACAGGAGAAAAATTATAGTGGTCTTTAAAGTAGCAATAATGATGCAGTTCAGCTGAGAAATCAACACGATAGACAATGTCAGGGATATTTGACAGCCTTTTCTTTCTTTCTTTTTTTTTTTTCAGTTGTAGATGGACACAATAGCTTTATTTTATTGATTTTTATGTGGTGCCAAAGCTCAAACCCAGAGCCTCACCCGTGCTAGGAAAGCACTCTACCACTGAGCTACATCTTTCAGAGTATTTATTGTGAACATTAGTGAACAYGTGATAATAAGAAGTATTTTTAAAAATTTAGAAACAAAATTCTCAACTTTTGTTTAATAAGAGAAAGTTGAATATGAAAGTCCTCCATTTCTCAAA